ATTTCAAATTAGTTAATCTAAATTGAAAAACAGAGCTACTATGCATTTCAAAATATCAGATGCTTCACTATTTTTTGAATAACTTTTGATAGAAAAATCATAGAGATCTGTGATTTTCACCATTGAAGAGAGAAGATCCGAGTCCATCGAAGTATATCGAAATTCGATTGATTAGCAATTGATTCGTTAGATGAGATTTTCGAAAACAGTATCCTTAAGTTATTTCATCTATGCTTCAGACTTTCAATAGAACTAATTGATGGAAAAAATTCTTCTTTTTCCATCTAAACAAGGCCGACATTCCTAGCTTGTTTCGTTCGAGAGTTATAAGGCTTTTTCTGAGACTTCCGATTTCAGTCAATTGATATATGATCACTTGGCGAAGTAGCTAGACAGTGATAACTCGCCATACTAAGTCGAATGGTAATATTTATTTTTAGATTTGAAATGATCTGACTCAGTTATCTCAATATTTCTGAAATGTCGACTACTTCGTTACATGAAGGCTGATTGTGAAATTACAGAAAAATTGAGATAACAGAGTCAAATCAGTTCGAACCTAAAAATATATATCACCATTCGACTCAACATGGATAATTACCCTTCCCTACCTGCTTTTCCCAGTGACCACAAGTCAATTGGCTGAAATTGAAAGTCTCAGGAAAAATCTGATAATTCTTGAAAGAAACAAGCTAGGAATGTCGGTCTTGTATAGACCGACAGAGAAGAATTTTTCTATCAATTCGTCATGTTTTCGAAAATCTCATCTGATTGGTCAATTGATGACCAATCAAATTTCGACATACTTCGATGACCTCAAATCTACTCTCTTGAATGGTGAAAACCACAGATCTCTATGATCTTTTTATAAGAAGTTATTCAGAAAACAGTGGAGCATTTGATATTTTGAAATGGATAATAGATATTCAATTCAGACTAAGAATGGACAATTTTGATTTCATAAAGAGCATTGACTTTGTCTATCTCTTATTCAGATACGAAGATATGATTAATCAACGTTTTTTATTTAGATTAGATAAACAAAAAAAAAATATTACAAAACAATAGGTTGTTTTTGTAAATGGCAATGTTCTTCTAAATATCTTACAATACGTTCACAATCAATTCCTTCACGTTGTATATGAAAATAACCATTTTGTGATAGATCAACAATAGTTGATCCACGTCGATCATTTGATGCTAATAGACCAGCATCAATAACTAAATCGACTTGTGGCCATAATGTTTTAAATTCTTCAATGCAAAGTGAACTTGATTCATTAGAAATATTCGCACTAGTTAATGCAATTGGTTGATTTAAACGTTGTGCTAATTCAATCATAAATTGACAATTTGGTATACGAATAGCTATATTAGTTACATTTGAATTGAAATAAGATGGTAATGATGATTGTCGTTCAAACATAAGTGTTACTGGACCAGGAAGAAGATCACCAGTAGCTAATTGTTCTTTCGTTAAAGTTGGTTTTGCCCAAGTAAATATATCATCAACATAACCAACAGCTATTGCTAATGGTTTAGTAAATGATCGTCCTTTTATTTCATATATTCGTTGAACAGCTTGTTCACTATTAACTAATGCAGCAAGACCATAAATTGTATCTGTTGGTACAGCAATAACACCATTATTTTTTAAAATTGAAATACATCGATCTATTAGATTATCTTCATTTACTGATACTATATTAGTAGTTGACATGATTTTGTTTTTTTGAATGAAAGAAATAACAGTAGAATATATGTTTGATAATTCGAAGAAAATTTATACCAATCCATGAAGTATTTAAATTTAGAATTACATTTGCTGATGCAATATTACAATTTCCTTTCACAATCAAATATTTATTTACATCAGAATAATTTCTTAAGTTACCATTGAAAGGACAATGATCAATTCTCACTTCTAGAAATAAATGTTTTTTCTTTTAAATATAATTTGGACCTAAATTTTTTTTTTACTTTTTACTTGTCCAATAAATCAATGAAGTAGAAGTGTTGCTAGGGGTCGCTCTTGCATGATAACAATATACTAATATCAAATAAGTTATAATTTTAATTATGCTCGTGTTATCAGCAATTAACTAACGAGAGAATCTCTTCAGATGTCCTCTTTCGATTTCAATGATTTTTTGCCTATAGATACTACATTATATTCTAATAAAAATTGTGAAACGATTTGAATAAACTATCGAGTTTTTAATAGATCTATTTTAGAGCTGCTAACAGGTCAAACCAGATCGATTGATGTTTTTGATTTTACGAATGTTTAATTTTAGTAATATATCATTTTAGTTCCAATTGTTTACTTAATGTATTTCCACAAAGATAAGATAATAAGAAACTCTTGCATAGAATGAATAACAAATTAAAACAAAGAGATAAGACAAAAATTTCTCATACGAGAGAGGCATAAATTAACAATGTTTTTGTTCTATTTAATAAAGTCGAAAAAGTGCAATCATGCTAGCACAAACAACATTTGTTTAGGCGTACAAGGAAGAGGTAAAAGAAAATACATAACGAAAATGTAGGGAATAAGCGATACTTATTATAATAGGAAAGGACATTTATATTGGGCAATCAATTTTTGCAACAGCACGCGCATAAAATTTACCATTCAATTGTTTCAGATCGAAGCAAGTTCTTCTGTAAGTCAACGTAAATTCTACGACACTAAATTGATATTGGGTTTAAGCGTTTGCTTCTGATTCGAATCAATTTGTCAAAGTATTCTCGAATAGTACTACAATCCGTCAACATTTGGTTTCCAAAACTTTTTGAGAGCCCGATCAGTAGCTCTGGTCTATTTTTTTAAAAGCCCTGTAGAATTCAAGGTTTTCAGAAAACTCGTATTTTCGAATTTCGGTCTAAAACTTTGTGTATATAGAGAACTCAACTAGACTAACTTCCATAAAAAAATTCAGAAGTTTTGAACAAACTCTCTTCGAGATATGAAAAACTTTCAAGATATCGACTTATTTTCCATGGATAGTGTATACAACATGAATTTTTTTATGGCAACTATTGTCCATTTCAAAATATAATATGCTCCACTGTTTTCTGAATAACTCAAGAATACAATTAGCTAGAGATTTGCGGTTTTCACTAATCGATAGAGGAGACAGAGGGACGTCTTTTATTCCAACATTGTATAAGACGAAGTCATTTTAAAATGAGTGATTTCTGCAGAACATTACAAAAAACGTATAAAAACTGTCTGTCATTCAGATGAAATTTTGACCAAAAGTAAGAAAATTTGCTGAAAAATTGAAATAAATCCATAGTTTTCGTGCTGGCAAATAAACGATTTTATTTGGTCAGCATTAGGATATGGAAACATAATCGTTCGAATTATATATTGAACTATAGATCTCAAGTCTCTCTATCTAGATCACATGTCAAAATCAAAATTTTATCTGAATGACAGACAGTTTTTATGTTTTTTTGCAATGTTCTGTAGAAGTCACTCATCTTAAAATGACTTCGTCTTATACAATATTGGAATAAAAGACATGCCCCTGTCTCCTCTATCGATTGATGAAAACCGCAGGTCTCAAGCTAATTGTGTTCTTGAGTTATTCAGAAAACAGTGGAGCACATTATATTTTGAAATGGACAATAGTCTAGTTAACTTCGAGTCATGACTTCGACTCGAATCATTCATTCAAAAGAATTGAAAGTTTAAAATTCAACACCAAAATCAGTATCAGAAGCAATTGATGATTTTTTGCAAGAAGAAAATATAATCAGTGATCTTATTTTCCAAAAACGAAATTCTTATCAAAAACTTGCTAGAAAAGTCATGTGTGTATTTCTGCTATACCAGTACCACTTGAACGTATGTTTTCTTAGAATTGTCTTTTATCTAGATCGCATCATTCAAAATTTTTATGAGCTAATATTTGTATTTTAACATCTTTAAAGTGCAGTAAGACATTAATTTAAATGTTAACGAATAATTTTTGCTTGTAAACAATTTTAAGTTTAGACTTTTGTTTATAAAAAAAAATGATCGAATAATTCCAAAAAACTTTCTAACAATCAATCATATTTTCACATATCTATTTATTTTATCTGTCATTGAAAATTCACCTAAAAATTTCATTGATTATATCTAATATATGCCAATTAATTTCAATAAAGGATATCGAAATTATCTTGATGACCTCTGTAACATTGATAGAAATAGTGTATAGCCATATTTTCTAGTTATTAATTCGCGTCATTATAACTATCAATGTTTTTTTCTGAAGTGTTTCATTGATCATATGTATTGATTATCAATCCTATATATTCCGATATGTATGAATGCATCATTTTTCTGAGAATTACATCTATTTTTTATCCACCGAATTGTTATACTGCACAAATTTGCACATATTTCAATTTTTTCTTTCAACATTCATTTAAAACACAAAATTGTTTATCAAAAAAAACAAACCGATGAGAGAACACCATCAACTCATGCAGTCCGTTTCAGCGTATATTGTGCTCATAGTGTAGATAAAAAATTCTAAAAGGATCCTTCTCATTAGGCTCTTGTTCTTGAGTTATGATCATTTTATTGAATTTCTAGTCTATTGTCAGGGCATTACGAGCAAAAGCAAATCAAAGAATTTCAGTCTGAAATTTCACCCAAAAATAGATCTCACGACTCTTATAATATCCTGCAAATTTCAGTCAAAATAGATGTTTTCTTCTCAAATTGTTGAATACTAAAAAATCGAATTTTTCTTGAATCTTTTGTAAGAAAAAACTTTTTTATACATTTGTTGTCTCAGTAATAGGGAATTCATTTCGGTAGAAACTTTCAGAATATTATAAGAACCATGAGGTCTATTTTTGAGCGAAATTTCAGATTGAGATACTTCGATTTGGTTTTGGTCGATAATACCCTGCAATAGATTGGAAATTCAATAAAAAGGATCATAACTCGAGAAGAGAGGCTTTATGGAGAGAATCCTTTTTGGGGTATTTATCTACACTATGAATTCAAACGGACTGCATCAGTTGGTGAAGTTTCCTTGTGAATCATTGTCTAACACATTGGCTTCGTAGACGTAACTCTAATGTCTTAGAATATATAATAGATAAAATCAAATACTTTTTCTCTATTTAATAATTTATGTCAAGGACGTAAGAAAATCCTAAGGTGCTTTTTAAAATCCATTACTGTCAACAGATTTCATTCGATATAAATTAGAAAATGCTATACAAATTGATACCTCATGCTCTTTCGATGTTTGCTTTGGATGTTTATAATGTCTGTAAATGCAAAAAAGGTCAATGTCTATCTTATCGTTACTAAGAATAGTGAGATTATCTCACACTGAGTATACAAATGACTATCAGATTGTTAATAAATATAGACAATACATATACTGATACCTCTATTGTTCATTACGTATTACACAATCATAAGTTAACTTGCTAATTAGAAGTGAAAAGAAGTTCATTGTCTTTTCAATATAAATAAAAGAGAAAAAGAAAACTATTAGATTGATAAAATAAGATTAGTAAAAGAGGAAGAGTGAAGAAAAAAAAATTCCTTCTTTTTTTCTCTTTTTATTAGAAAAAAAAATACTAATAATAATGACATTTCTATTTTTGTAGTCAAGTAAGTGAGTATAGTTTCTACAATTACAAATAGATTGTAGAATGATAATTATAAAGCATAAAATGAAAAGGTCGTCGTTTTAAGTTAATGAATGAAGCAAGAGATTCTTTTTTTTTCCTTTGCTTCTTTGCTCTTTCATTTATCTCGTGCTTGTGTTATTTTTTTCTGCTATATTGATTGATGATGGTCAACTAAGAATAGCTCACGTACACACACGCTATAAATTGTTTCCGATGTCATTGTTAAGACCTTGATCGATCTATCTCGTCAATATTTGAGAACGATTAGAATGTAAACTTATTGAGTTGAATTTTTTTTTCTCATTAATATTAGCATAAACATTTATGTTCATCAGACTAATTGTTCATTCTAGCATATAATCAAAATAGATTTTTGTATTTCCTTTTCTTTTTTTTTTTCTTATATCTTTCTAACAATTAAGTAATGTTTGCCGGGTGCATCTCTCTATTTATCGTTATGTATAAATGCAAAAAGATTTATGATTAAGCCACAAGATCTTTCTCATTTCTTTTTTTCCTCTGTCTCTCTATCTTGTCTCTTTCCACATCAGCAATTTCTGGGTAAAAAAAAAACTTCTCGTTACTACAACTGCGATAAATGTCAGAACACTGTTGTTGCTTGCATGGTGAAGGAAGCAAAGAAAAGCGAATAAAAATGTATAAACACATTGTGTGTGTGTGCATGCTTTCTCGACAGCTAAGTCAGCCCGCTGTTCGCCTGGATGACATGTTTAATTCTTCTTACTACGACTGACGTTGCGATCGTCATTCATCGCTTCTGCCGCTCATGATGTCATTTGGTCATTAGCTAACAACGATGGATTCTTTTTTTTTTCTCCATACATCTTCTTCTATAGCTAGTTGTCGTAGTACTACTTAAAGCATACTCGTTGTCGTTGATGATGAGGTTATCGTTCGTTGTTGTTCTTAATCCATTTTCTGTTCAGATATATATATATATATAGTTCTTATACTATCCTTCCTACTTATAGAATAGCAGCGGATGCTATGTCGGTTGCACACAGGAAACGCTTTTGAACAACTCAAAGAATAGCCAGCAAAGACAGATAGAAAAAAAAAGTAAAAGAAAAATTTTAGTCTTTGAATTTCTACCGCCGGCTTCATTGTCATTTTATCATTAACATTACTATCGGTGAGTAAATGACTGCCCTTGTATGCATTGAAAAGATTAAATCTCTTTTCTTCTCTTTCTTCGTTATGTCTCGACTTACTCTATTTCTAGGTGTGTATATCTATAGAATAGATACAGAGTAATTGCCAGAACACCACAATTTACACATGCACACTGTAATCGGACACTCATACACATACAATCATGCATTGAAAGGGCTAGATCTTTTCTCTTGCTCTCTCTCTATTTCTAATCATACAATAACGTTGATTGGAAATTTTCCTTTTGATATATTTTATTTTCTTAATAATAACCAAAAAAAAAAGAAACGCATATGACAATATTCTCTAATAATATTGAATTAGGAGAATAACAAGAAAATCAACTATGTCTATCTATTGGGACTAATTTTTGACATACGTATACCAACAAACACTGAAACGCGTCATGACAGTCATTGTCACCAAGTGTTTACTGTCAAACAAACTAGACATAGACGTTTGCACAATTTATACTAGTAAAGGCGGTGAAGCCATTAAATAAATGAGAAGAAGAAGGGACAGAGAGAGAGAGAGAGAGACAGAGTTCCTGTCTCCATTTTTATGACTTCTTCTCTTTCTTTTTTTCATTGTTTTAAAAGCAATAAAAAATAGCAGTAACAATCTTCCTCTCATGCCACTCATTGTAGAATTTGGTCACTTGTTAAGATATTTATAAGGATTGTATTATGAAATCGTATACTCAGTTCAATATTCAATATATATATATATGTATATATAGAAAGAATAGAGTGAGAATGATCATCCGTATGGCTGTATGTATATTCATATCAACAATAACAACAGTTGCTGCTTCTTATTTCTTCTGTTTCACCTCTCTCTCTCTCTTATATGTCGTATCTTCGGGTAACACTGTCGTACGCCCTATCGACCGTTCAATATCCTCACTTTCTTTTTTTTTGTTTTGTTCTCTTCTTTTTTTCTTTGAGGGCATTGTTGGCTTGGTAGAAAAAGTAATGACTGAATATATATATATATATATATATATACATAGTGAGAAGAAAGAACAGCCGATAAAAAAATTCTTTTGAATACAGACGAGCACCTCTACACAATTCATCGTCTGTGTATACATTCATATTGATGCAGACCTAAAAGAAGAATATAATAGCTATGAAAACAATTAATTTCTTTTCAACCAATTGATTTTTGAATAATACAAACTTTTGTCATCAATTGTTTTTTTGTTAACATGATGAATATAAGGTAAGTCGAATAAGTTAGAATTTATTTTCAATACACATAAAAAATACTAATAGTAAAGTTGCAATATGTTTTATATCATTCATATGCGTGTTAGTGAGATAGAGCGTTTTTGACAAGTCTTTTCATCTTATTCTGGTTCTTTTTTTTCTTTTTCTCCTTTTTCCACATTAGAAGATAGATCATCATTATCATTAACATACTTTTATTTTAGCACTGTCCTTGATGATAGTATGAACACATATTTTGTATGTAAAAATGGTCAAAATGTGTCATGGACATCTGTATGTGATGGTCGTAATCAATGTGCAGATGGCTCAGATGAACGTAATTGTAAGTTATTTAATAAAGGAAAAAATGAAGATTTTAACTATATGATTATATAATATTGAATATATTCTCTATCTCATTTTAATGCATTTGGACAAGATTTCTTTTTTTTTTGTATATTTTCAAGTGTCCTTTTTTGCTTTTTATAAAGAATTGAAGATTTATATAAAAGAAAAACTTAATGTCCAATATTTATAGGTTATTGCCAAGGTGATGTTTATGCATGTTTGCAAGGCAATAATGTTAGTTGTCGAGTAGCATGTACTACTTATGGCCGTGTCACTTGTTTAACATATCAAAATACACGTGCTTGCGAACAGTATATTCGAGAACGTAGTAAGTTAAATTATAGATATTTTTTGATATATATATATAATTCATTAATTTTATTATGATATCTAGGTAGTACTAGTTATCTTGATATTAATTCCGCCGGTGATTCATCTATAGCAACGAATAATTTTGATGCACTTCGATATTCAGGTAATTAATAGGAGAAAAAAGAAACAACAATTTTTTTTTTTACTAGTATAATATTTTTGTTTTCTTTTCTAGCTTTTCTAGCCGGCGGTATTTTATTAGTTGTTTCTCTTCTTTCATTAATTATTTATATTATTCGTAAAAATCCTTCTCAATTATTATTCTTATGTACTAATAAATCATTAAGTAGAAATTCAAATCGAAAATTAACAAATCGTTTAACATTAGAATCATCTGTTTTACAACAACATCATCAACGACAATCATCTCCTTCATTAAATTTATCTCGTCCACGTTATACACCAGCACCTGATATTAATGATTTACCACCATCTTATTATTCCGATCGAAATCCAATATCCATAGGTGATTGTTATGAACCACCACCTTATCCTGGTCCACCTTTATTTTCATCAATACAACATTCGGATTCAATCTATTATGAAACAATAAAAACTCCATCAACATCAAATTCAATGTCTATGCTACATCCAATGCCATTGCCTGAACCACGTGCTTTTGTAAATGTTCGAACACATCGTGTGTAATAAAATCAAAAAAAGAAAAAGAAAAGAAAAGTTAATTGAACAAAATGAAAGTTTTTTATTCGTTTTTCATTGTCTATTATTTAAATATGTAATAAGAAAGCAAACATCTTTCTGTTCTTTTTTTATTGACCTCCACCGAAAAGACGAGCTAAAACACTTGCTCCAGCACTACTCATTCCTCCTGATGGTGGAGGATAATTTGTAGGAGGCGGTGGATAGTTAGGTGGCATTGGTGCTGGTGGATAAATGGATTGTGGAGGTGATGAACTTGGATGGGACATTTGATTCCATACAGATTGAACTGCATCTAGTATTCAAAGAAAAACAAAAGAAAAATCAATTTAAGAATGAAGAACTATGTTGATAATTACTATTAGGCTGTCCACGAAGATACTGTTCGATTTTCTCCCAAGCCTGTCCTACGGTTGGAGAGGTTGGTCGATTATAATCACCCATATGTGCTGCAGCATTCCAAACATTTGATACTGCGGATCTAGGATCTTCTCATGAAAAACAAAATTATCAGAG